TACACAACCGTGTACTAAAAGAAATCAGCTGACATTAGTAAACATGATAAAAGATAACATACAGAATTATGTTATCAGTCAGCAATTGTGGAAATTTATATTGGCCACTTAGGTGGTTTCAAAGTTCTAGACAGCACAGAACAAAATACTAAAGTTAAATACTTCTAGGTACAGTAGCTTCAGAAAGAGCATCTTCATCAGTAATAAATCATTTGAGATATTAAACATTGTCCATTAGTTGGAAAGATTGCACAGTTACAACAAATGTGAATGTGTTGAATTTTTTATATCAGTTTTAAAATGAAGATATTGCATGCAATTTGCAGATGATTGACAACATAGTTTCAATATTACTACAGTCACAAGGTAATCCCGTTCAATGTAAAGCTAAGAAATGACAATAATAGAAAGATATATAGACCCTGAAATTATATTATGGGATACTTATGTATAAATTCTTTATGCAGTAACTTGAGATTCCTCTCTACCATTATGATAGCTGGCTTTTATACTTTTACCAAACCAACCATGAAGGAAATACCAAACAAGCATGTTAAACATTAACATTTAAGTATTTATTGCATACTTCAGGTTCATAATAATAAACGGATTGAAAATAGATTAAGAAAGGATGATTCTTAAAATTCTATTAACAGGAAATACTTGTATTTAATGGTTACGTCACAGATTATCCATTAAATAATGCAGCTAGTAACATCATCAGAATCAAATAATTTATTTGAATGAAATTGTTCCTTTGTTTCTTTTTTTAAACTTTGTCATTTCAATTATGCTTACAAAAGTATTACAATATATTGTCAGAGATAGTAGGAACTGCAGATGCTGGAGAATCCGAGACAACAAGGTGCAGGGCTGGATGAACACAGCAGGCCAAGCAGCATCATAGGAGCAGAGAGGCTGACGTTTCGGGCCTAGACCCTTCATCAGAAAAGGGGGAGGGGAAGGGGGTTCCGAAATAAATAGGGAGAGAGTGGGAGGCGGACAGAAGAGGGATAGAGGAGAGGATAGGTGGAGAGGAAACAAACAGGTCGAAGAGGCGGGGATGGAGCCAGTAGAGGTGAGTGTAGGTAGGGAGTTAGGAAGGGGATAGGTCAGTCCAGGGAGGACGGACAGGTCAAGGGGGCGGGATGAGGTTGGTCGGTAGGAGATGGAAGTGCGGCTTGAGGTGGGAGGAGGGGATAGGTGGGAGGAAGAACAGGTTAGGGAGGCAGGGACGAGCTGGACTGGTTTTGGGATGCGGTAGGGGGAGGGGAGATTTTGAAACTTGTGAAATCCACATTGATACCATTGGGCTGCAGGGTTCCCAATCAGAATATGAGTTGCTGTTCCTGCAACCTTCGGGTGGCATCGTTGTGGCACTGCAGGAGGCCCAGGATGGACATGTCGTCTGAGGAATGGGAGGGGGAGTTGAAATGGTTCGCGACTGGGAGGTGCAGTTGTTTATTGCGAACCGAGCGTAGGTGTTGTCACTTCATTTTATTTAGTTTAAATCTCCAGGTAAGATTTATTCAGGGTAATGACGACTGCAAAGAAATAAATAAAAACTAACACTGAATGTTTATTTAACAGCTGAAATTGGATCCAACTTCCAAAGGTTGAACAGGTACCCACCCTCCTTCACTGTAATTTTTTTTAAGCAGCAAGACTTATAGTGCAGACTAAGTGCTGGAAACTTCCTGATTAGGTGCATGTACATGGGTGAGGCCATGTTCTGGCCATCTACAGGGAGCACAGCCACTTTGGACACAATCTATAGTGTAGATATCACAAAATCCTGCTCTGCTGTATCTATCTTAGACCAACAGGCCTCTGAGTTGGCAATTAATAGTAATTACTCACTTGTATATAGTGCCTCCCATACACACAGATATTCCAAGGTAAAGAGGAGAAAAGATGCACAGGCTATGTGGAAAGGTTAGGCAAGTTTACTGAAAGAGGCGTTTTAAGAAAGCTTCTAAATTGAGGTAGCAGATAGACAAGGAGAGAAGATGTTTTAGGCAGTGGGTTCAAGATGGCTATAAAATGTTTCTAGAGTTATGGCTGAGTGAATGTAAGAGGCCACAGTTAAATGACCAGATAGCTTGGGGACCAACAAAAGGCTGGAGAAGATTGCAAATGTACAATGGGGTGAGGCCTTGGAGAGAGCGAGGAAGAGTGAATGAAACAGGTTGTGAGTGTTCAAAGCAGAGGACAAGAAAATGGTGGTAAAGAAGAGACAGAAATGTAAAATATGTGTAAATGATTGGCGTGAAAATGAGAAAATGGGTCTACCGCACTGAGACCATTCTTTGCCAAGAACCATTTTTCTTCCTTTCTGGTGGTAAGGAATGCAAACTCCAAAGACTCACAGTTACCGACATCTGGTCTTGTACCTGCATTCAAATTGTTCAATAAGAACTATCAATGTGACATTGGTCACCTTAATTTCTCTGCCCCGCTGCCCATTCTGAACTATCTCCCTCTGAACTGACTGCACTCCGTGCTGTCAAATCCAACCCTGACTTTGTAATCAAGCCTGCCGATAAGGGTGGTGCTGTTGTTGTCTGGTGGACTGACCTCTTCATTGCAGAGGCTGAGCGCCAGCTCTCAGGCACCTCCTCCTATCTCCCTGGACCATGTCCCCACCATCGAGCATCAGGCCATTGTGTCAACAACTGTCACCAACCTGATCTCATCTGGTGGTCTCCCCCCACCGACTACCTCCACCTCATTGTCCTCAACTCTGTAGAGCCACTTCTACCTTCTTTCCAATATCCACAAACAGGACTGCCCAGGCAGACCCATTGTTTCTGCCTGTTCCTGCCCAACAGAACTCATCTCTTCCTACCTCAACTCAATCTTTTCTCCCCTTGTCCAGTCCCTTCCCATTATATCCCTGATTCTTCAGTTTCAGAATTTCCAGTTCCCAGGAATTTCCAGTTGCCTCCTCTTTACCGTGGACGTGCAATTCCTTTACACATCCATCCCCCACCAGCATAGTCTCAGGATTCTCCACTTCTTCCTGGAAAGAAGGCCTGAACTCTCCTCATTGTCACCACCCTCCTCTGCCTAGTCAAGCTTGTCCTCACCCTGAACAATTTATCCTTTATCTTCTCTCACCTTATTCAGATCAAATGTGTGGCTATGGGTACCTGCATGGGCCCCAGTTATGCCTGTCTCTTTGTAGGGTACTTGGAATATTCCTTGTTCCAGTGCTACACAGGCCCCCACCCACAACCTTTCCCATGGTACATTAGTGCTGCTTCCCCTCTCATTCTGAACACAAAATATGTATCAATTTCACTTCCG